TCATTTCAGTACCGAAATACAGGAAGAAGATGTAGGAAATAACAGTCAATTTGAATCAAAAATCCGGGAAACCAAAATTTTGAAACGACAGTCAGCAAAAAAAAATCGATGAAAATTTCTAAATTCCAGATTTTATGAGAAACATGCTTCAATAAAACTTATTTTTTGCAATGGTTTGAAATATCAAAACTGCTGCCAAAATTTTATTTCCAAAATTGAAAAAAAAAGTTTTTTATTGCCTAGTCTCAAAAAAAACTATGATGTTGCATAGCTTATAGAATATCTTTTTTTCCAAAACAAAAACCACTATGACCATTCTGTAGAAAACCGAGTAATTAAAATATTATTCTATGATCTGTTTCAACAATTTCAAAAGAAAATAACAGAATCAATCACACTTGTCACCAAAATTCTATTTAATTTTCGAATAGTAGTTCACAAAAAAACTCACTACAACAAAGATTTTAGAAGGTGTTTTAGAAGATTGCGTCAGCTCCAAGTGACATAGTTTATGTTATGTATAAGTTGGCGCACGCAAGTACAACATAAGTGACTTACATTCTAGATAAACTTTCATAAAATTTCACAATATTGGACCATATGCTGATTTCAGTACTTGCGCTTTCGGTACAGCTTTCCGCAAAACTGAAGCATTTGTTTGCTGTTTCTGTTCCAACTATTTTCGAGAAAAAATGACGGGTTAGTTGTGCTCGGGCAGGTTTTCTTTCTCCAGACAATTTTTGACTCTTATACTAGCCATTTCGACGGTAACAAAATGATTTTATATCACTCAAAAGCTATTGTTGTTCTGAGTTAAGAATTAGAAATTTAAAAAGATGTCTTAACTGTGATTATTTTTCGTGAAGTTATGGAGTGTAAATACTACCAATGTGAGACAATTAACGCGCGATTTATTTTATGTCCATAAACGCGTAAAGTGGGCTCTCTATAAAAATATATTTTTTAAAATTTTAAATAATTCAAATAGCATGTCCCAATTAAATCTGGAGCATTTTTTAAAAACCGAATTTTGCGCGTTAATGATCCAATGTTAGCCTAATTGACAAATTACGAACCATATTTTTACAAAAACCAACCACCAATTAGGACATCATTTTAAACTTGAGCTGAGGAAATCAATAGTTTTCACATGATAAAAGCAAAATCCATCAAATAATTATTATTCATAACATCGAAATTTGCCTGAAGAACCTCCTTTCCCAAACACAAATTTTTCGCGACTTTTTTCGAACGTCGGAACAATAATTGAAATTCTTGCAAAGAACTTCTGGCAATTGAAGAGTCTCACTTTGAACACTAAAAACTAAGCCTAAAAATTTTGTCTTTCATATCCATTTCTGTCGTGATAAATTGGACGCCATCTTTTGAGGTTAATCAGCCCTGAAAAACTAATATCTCTTTTTCCCATTAAACCAAGATACCATTGAGTCAAAAAGTTTAATTTGCATACGTTCCGATTAGCACGCGCCATTAAACTAAGTTTTCACTTTGATGTGGCACTTATGAATTTGAGTTTTTTTGATGCAAACAGGAGAAAGCAAGACGCATGCTAACAAGTAGGCCGATACGTAGCGCCCATTCGTATGCACAAGGTAAAATTTGCATGTCCCTATTCAAGCTGTAATTCTAAAACATTGTCATGGTAATAAGGATCGAGTCGAATGAGAAAAAGGGAAATAAATCAAAATACTAATAAAAAACAAACGTACAAAGTAAAATTAATCATCTGTTGTTTTAGTTTTCAAAAACAAATTTTGATGCTTGGGTGGTTGTTTGAATCAGTCAATTTTTGTCTTCCCAGCTAAGAATTTTTTACAAAAAAAATTAACCAACTGAAAAATTTTGATGTCTGGAACTCACATGTGAATATAAAATTCACATATGATCAGCTTTTGTTTAGTTAAAATTATGGCAATTTGAAATTGTTAATTTGGCCAGTTGGGATCATAAAACGCCTCATTTTTGGCATTTTTAGAACACGCGTATGTGGTAGATTAATGCGTTTCAAATTGAGTTGAGGCAATTCATAGTATTCTTAGTGAGATACGAGACGCTAGATAAATCATTTTGTAGTTTACATAAGCGTTGGAAGGCATAAATTGATTTTAAAAAATTTATCTACTACCTTTTCCTTTTTTTCAATCAAAAATGTTTTCAATTAGCTTGAAAATGCAATCGAAATTTTAAAATTTTGCTCGGATATATGAGCAGTCTTTTTGTTCCGACCATTTGAAAAATGCGGAGGATCTTTGACTTCTGGTGCGTTTGAGTTTTTTTCTTTTTTTGTTTTCCACGCAAAATCAGATACCTCTAATAATGGGTCAAATTACATATCAAAATCAATCTCTTTCGACTGTGATTAAAAAATCATAATAACGCTTTTTCAGTCGAAATTTTCTCATTGTCGAGAAATTGTTTGAAATTTTTATTTTTGATCTAATTTCAAGCTGATAAGATGAGCGTGCAGGCTTATAATAGCTTATTTATGCTCAATTCAAATACTGAAAATTTAAATTAAACCGAGTAAAATTTGTTTTTGGAGGTTTTTGGCGCCATCTTGGGAATCAAAAACTTCAAAAATTCAAAAACAGTCTGCAAAAAAAAATAGAAATATTGTTCGAATTTTTTTCAATGATTTTGTTACAATTTTTCTGTCTTTTTCTACAAAAATTTTTACAATTTGCCTATTTGATGATGACTGTCGATCGTTCGAATAAACCTAATTTTTCTTTTTTTGTTCAGTTCTTGTAATGAGACCACACAAAAATAATGGCACTAAATAAAAAAAAAAACATTTTTTAAAGATTGTGGTCAAAGCATTCTGTGCTATTTGCGCAGTAACCGGCTATTCTTTTTATTTGCCAACTTTTAACCTTAATCTCTGTTGATCTATCAGCAGCAAGCTACCAATCATTAAACAGTTCATATAAAAATGTAACTAATAGCATTTACACAAATTACCATACTGGGGATAATATGATCAACTACTAGTGGTAATTCGTCTTAGTTAGTCATGGGGGGTTAAATAAGCTAGTTTTTTATCCTATGGAAATTTAGCCGCGAGCTGATTTTCAATCAAAATGTACTGTTTTGTTTCGACTGTTCTTGTTTTGGTTCTTCTTTCATCATTCACATAATTAAGGTTGTTTTTTTACAAGCTTTTTTCTGTTGAAAATGCATGTTTTTAAAAACAATATGATTATATGGTATCGGGAATCAACCAAGCTGTACATTGAATTGATTAGAACGATATCACGCGAGGGGGAATAAATTGAAATGATAGAAGTGTTGAAACCAGTGGACAAAATTTTGTGCTCCGGGTATTTTTTGCTGAGGATTTCACAATTTTGCAGTAAATGTATTTGATTTTTAACTAGCAGTTTTGGACATGATTAGAATGCTTTCACGTTAGTAATTTCCTGGAGTTAAGTTTTTTTTACTTGTGACAGTTTTTTTGAAAAAACTGTGGCGTTTGGATTTTGTCAAATTGTCCAATATCAGCTAATTAAATCTCTCCAAATTGAATTTTGGCAGGCGATTCGGTGTTTATAGATTCTTATGTGACCCAAGATTTCTCACTCATTTTTACACAGAGAGTGAAAAATCTTTTCTAACAATTTTTTCAAATTTATAATCGAGATGTTAGAATTTAGTGGGAACATTCAGAGTTTAGTCTTGATTCCAACTGTCCTGTTTCCATTTATAGCAAATTAAAACTTGAATGAATCACTTTTCATTAAAATGAACCTTTCTCTGTAAATTCTTCTGTAAATAATCATAGTAATTTTGCAAGGTAAACTCATACTAGCAAATAGAACACTAGAAAAAATGATATTCCAAATTTTTTAGTGAGTTAAAAGATTATTCAATCAAAGACTAGATGGGTTCATTGTCAAATGCGTTACCTGGGTTTTGAACCCTGTGATGAGATCACCAATTTCAAAGTAAAGGCAATATAAAAGCCCAATTATTGCTCCAAGCTAATTTTCGCTTTGCGTTGCAAGTTCAATTCTCATTTAAATAAATAATAGCTAAACTGTCTATTGTTCAAACATCAAAGTGACATCATTTGAAAATTTTGTTGAAAAAAATTGTCAATAAAAAAACTAAGCAATCTCTTGTTAACATTTGCTTGTTATCAATTTGATCAAATTTCCTATTTGCTTCTCAGAATGACTTCTTCCATCAGTATTTTCTCATCGGAAAACCCACCAAAATTAAAAAACATTTCCATAAAACTTCAAAACGGGAAAATGACCTCAAGACAATTTTTTTGTCTCATCCTAACAATTTTAATTATTTTGCATTCAAATTGCTGAGCTTAAATTAAAAATGATCATTTCAATTTGTCTGTGCATAGCTTTCCTATTGAATGGGATTGAAATTAAATTGAAAGTTCAAACTATATTAAATTGTTTTTTTTTATATATATATAAATGGACATCACTACCAGTAAAGGAGTATAAAAATCTAATTTTGGGTTCTCAAAATTGGGCTGAAAATTACTGTCCATTTAATCCACTTCTATCGCAATTAACTGGGCACCAATAAAGCTGCCACAAATTGGGCTCAAATTTTCATTAGAGAAAGTTATTATCTTAATTTCCATTCCCCCATTGCAATTTAAATTTATTTAAAAAACTATATTAAAGTTTCCATGAAGTAAAGAAGCTTTTATGGTGAACAAAGTAGCTGATCTGAACAGACTTATTCTACGTATGATTAATCGTGATAAAGATGGAACAGAAAAAAAATTAGGTTTTTAGCCATAAAAATAACTTTTCTAAGTAGAAAACAAAAAAAAACAGAAAGCTTTTACTGGGTTTTTGGATACATTAGGCTTCTTGCACTAGCTTAATTTAGTCATATATTAGCTTGCAAAAACTTATGAATTAGAAAACTTTGAAGTGCAGGAGGCGGATTGGGAAAAGTTTCGTACTCAAACTAACTCACTCGTGACCGTGAGTAGTTGTGTTTAGGCGCAAGAGCAGGCAGCAAAATCTACATGTATGTGACCCACTTCCTTGTGGGTTCTGGCACATGTGTGGTCATGGGGGTGTCCTACTTCAACATCTGGGCTACTGTGAAGCGACAAGCCAAAGCCTGGGCAGCCCAGAACAAAGCAGCAGGAACAAACAGAGGTGATGAGCAATGTCGTCATTTCAATTTAGATACTTTGAACAGGTGTTAAGCCACTTCATTGTTCCGACCATTGAAAATGGGGAGGAAATTTGTGTTCGGCTGTGTTTTTTTTCTTCTTTTTGTTTTCCGCGCAAAATCAGCTACCAAAAACTTTCATGGGATAGGGTTGAATGATATATTTCATTAAAGCACTTTCAATCGTGATTCGAACCACATTTAAAAAAGTCGCAAAAAATTGTCTCAGTGTCAAGAAAAATAGGATTGAAATTTTTTTTGTCTTAATTTGCGCCAATGAAGCAAGCGAGCAGTCTTTTTTGTTTTTCCTCGCAAAATCAGCTAGCATAAATATGCATTGGACTGGGTTGAGTGATATATCATATTAAAGCCTTTTCAGTCGTGATTCGAAAAACATCAAAAAGTGTGTAGGTAACAAAACCTCTTAGACCGATGTCGAGAAAAACTAATTTTGAAATTTTTGATTTTTCGTCAAATTTTGAGTGAGTGAGCAGATTTATGCTTTATTTAAGCCTTGAAAATAAAGTTCTTTTTATTGAAGTTAATTTTTGGAGCTTATAGCTTCATCTTAAGAAACAAAAACTTCATAAATTTGGAGAACAAATTTTTAAAAAAGTTTTTTCAATTTTTTTTGATTTTTTTTTGTTTTTCCTGTTATTTGTCTTCAAAAATTGTTTTCTAGTCTGGATATTTTACATGTCTTACAAAAATTCCTCAGGTCTAACAGGTTCTTTTATCAAACCAAGCCGGAAAAACGACCCGAGTAGTAAAAATAATTGTGTTGTAATTTTTAAGTCTGGTCGGAATTTTCTGTGCTACTTGCACAGTAACCGGTGATCCTTGTTTAATTTTTCTGTTTTTGTAACATGTGATAAATGACATCATTTGATTTTTTCTACTTTTTTTAGGTGATATGTGACGTCGTTTGATTTTAAACTTTTAAAGAGGTGATAAGGGAAGTCATCTGAATTTTATATACCTTAAAGAGGGGCTATTCTCATGGGCGAAGGGCCAAAAACAAAAACAGTCGAAAGTCAAATATTAAAGTGAATCAATGCCTGTCGTTCATTTAAAAGAACTAAATGAAGCAGTATTTTGTTTCTTTTATAATAAAACCCTTGAAACATAGATTTTGTTTCTAGTAGCTGATGGTCAGTGACAATTTGAACGTTTATCATCTTTCTGCCGTTTTTATATTCGGCCACTATTAATATTTTGTCCGTGAAAATGTTCACTTTCTTTGAAACTGTCAATTTTTTTTTCCAAATTTTGGAATACTGAAATCTTATTGGCTGATTTTAGTTTTCGCCCACGCGTTCCGTCGCCTTTAAGGGATTCCACTCTTAAAAGAAGTTATAAATGACGTCATTGGATTTCAATATACTTTGACGAAGTGATAAAGGACATCATTTGATTATGCATATTTTCAATAGGTTAGGTGTTAATTGAGGTCATTTGATTGTATATGCGTTGAAGACATAAATGACGTCATTTGATTTTATATGGACCGAATGTGCAAAGAAAAAAGAAACGCTAAAACTCTCATCCAAGTTAAAGCCCGTTAAACTTTTCAAAACTGACTAAATTTATCGCTTCTTTCTTTCAAGAGTTAAAAAGCTGACCTCTGATTGGTTGAAAACATTTTCGGCCTTGAATTTTCCTGGTCGAGGTTCACGACGTATGTCCAAGCTATTGCCACCAAGTTTTGATTGGTTCAGACTTTTGCGGCCAACTTTGCAATTTTCAGACTTTTAGGATTAAAATTTTCAATCCCGAGTTTCGCGGCCAATGAGGAGTCGGCGCGACCGGCGCTATCCAGGCATTGTCGACATGAAGAGGGTGACCGTCGCGAACAAACCTTGCCATTTCCAGATTTTAGAGGCCGAAATGATCCGTTAGAACTTTCGCGACCACGAGCGAGACGTCATGCATTGGCGCTACCAGCGAGATCAATTTTTGCTGCATGGACCGTGAATCGTGACTCACTTTGCGACCGAATTGGGTTGACAAAATAGACTTTCTCCGACCGAAATTCCATTCTCCCGCAAGAAGCTTGAGTCGCACAAATTCGCAACATGGTCGCGCCAAGTCGCAACATACGTGAAAACAATTCGCTTAAAGTTTCATTGGTCGCTCTTTTGGAATGAGTCGTTCTTTTTTCGAAACCGTTCTAGTTCAACCGACTGCTTAGTTCAAAGTTTTCATAAACTCGATAAATATAATTAGTAGCAAAAAGTTCGGACAGACAGAATTAATTAAAATGAGCAATCAGTGCTTTTCGATGCTTTTTTACATGCAAAATCTGAAGCCGAACAACCTTGAATTTTTTGTCAGACCAAATTCAAATTGCGAAATTGTCGATTATCCGATGATTATGCTAGCCTAATTTTTAAATACTGCTATGAGCATCCAGATTTTACTATAAAACATTTCGACGCTTCGGATGCAATTGCCCGCCGTGGTTATAAGCTTTGAGCGGAACTCGGATCTACTTAACAATCCCCCTATTGTATCTACTAAAGAATCTCCACCCCTGTAAGTAAAAACAGTAATTTCGCACAAGAGCATTGTATGTAAATTCGGACTTTGCTGCATTCTGATTGGTCGACAGTTTGCTGCAAGTAGCCTTAGTAGCGATCTCCTCCCCTTTCTTGAAAGGGGGCTTGTTAAGTAGATCCCGTAACTCTGGTTTATGAACTTTCCACAATATGTTTTTTCAGTTTTAGTTTCCGTTGATGTCTAGACAGTTGCTCTTTTTAATTAATTCTGTCTGTCCGAACTTTTTGCAACTCTCTATAAACATGACTAAAACTTTTCAAAAAAATTCAACGTTTTGTCAGACTTTTTTGATTATTTTCAACAGGCATGTGATTGACAATGAAAGCCAATTGGAACATTCAAGGTTTTTTTTTCTGATTTACGAGTGGTCGTTTTTTCTCTAGGTTTTATTTTTTTATTTGATTCAACTGACTGTTTTTGGCTAGTTAATATGTTTTCCTTCTTTTTCAAATGGAACATAAATACAAGGTGATTTTTTAATGTGGCCACAACTTTCAACGCCTTCAAACCAAAATGCTAGGAAGCTCAAATTTTATGTGAAGGCTTACGAGATAACACCAAGTTGAATCATATAATTGTTGATACAATTTCAATAATTACTAGAATGTTCAAAGTGATTGTTCTTGATTGCCAAACAGCACCGATAGAATAATGCATTCTCGACTCGAGGCAGCAAGAGTGTATCTGACATAATGGAACGGAAAACTTCGGATAATTTCATTTTCAAAGCATCAACGGTTACAGGTCTAAAGTCCCGAAAAATGTGTTCTTTGAAAAAACCCCATGAAAAGAATTCAACAGGCGACAAATCGTTCCACTGACAGTCCACTTTGCGGTTGAATTTCTTCCTGAATTTTCGAATTCTTGTTTTTATTAAAACCCAAAAAAAAACGGACAAACTAGTAACTACTAGATTTTTGATTACGTCTAACTGCTTGTAATTATCCCAGCTCTATCTGTGTCAAAAACTAGATAATTAGGTTCAAAGGAAAAGGAGATACAAAGAGCTTAAGTTGTGGCCATATTAAAAACCACATAGTATTTTTATCACTAGATTTATTAGGAAGCTATATTGCACATAACTTTCTGATAGATTTTTTGTTTTCTGATTTTGACCGGAACACAATTTTTCCCGAAGTAAACTGCTCGTGCGCTGTATAACATTTCATTGAGGCTGAGGCATGGCCATATTTACGCTTCAATAATAATATTTTCTGAAAAAGTGGAGAACATGTCTACTGTTTTTTGGGATTGATTTTTTTGGATTTTTTCTTGTATTGGGAATCATTACAAGTGTCCAAGTCAGTCGTGGTATCTAAAAGAACATAATAAGAGCTCTTTCATGGTTTTTGGGCTGGAAAGTGGATGCATATTTATTTTGCAGGAGTGAAGCGCATATTTGACTCATTATATGATTGATCAAAATAATTTTCTGTAATCACCTAAAACACTGTCTTAGTTTGATTGAAACTTGTGCACTGTCGTCAAAGTTTTGAAACATTGAGCAGGAATTCCATTTTTCAAAATCTTTGTCAAAAAAATGGCAGATTTTGGTGCATGATGCTATTCAGAATTAGTAGTAGACCGGAGTATATAAAGTTTAGTGGAGGGGATTCTAATAAATACATTCAGTTTATTGCAATTATTGCAGTTTATTGCAGGAACTTTCAGCTTATTGCATATCTACAAACAGCGAAAACTGGTTGGCGTACTCGGTGCGAGTGAAAACATATTCTTAATGATTTTAAAACTTTTAATGATTTCTTAATGATTTTTAATGATTATTTGAGGTCAGTGACAGCGAATCAAAATCTAGGTTATATAACCTCTGTTTGCCTGAGCTAAATCAAGTCAAATTTTATGGCCATGTATTTTAACAGGTACAGGTGACAACAATCATGGAAGGGGAGATGGTGAGAAGAGCGTTCGGCCCACCGAAAGTTTCCCGCTATGCAGCACCACGTCCACCGGGTAAAAATGCACTTTGTCACTTCGCTCATTGTTTTTCTAAAAGCCACTCTGCACATACAAAATTAAAATAAATGAGATAAATAAAAACAAGTTGTTCAGACTAATGAACGTAGTGAAGACTCTTCTATAGGTCTGGGTGATTTTTTTCAGGAAAAAGTTCTAAAATGCTGTAATAACTACTGATGTACCTAAGTATATATGACCTTTTTAAATTCATCTGCTAAAACTTACGTACTTTATCTATTGATCCAGTTTTCTCAAGTTGGGTTAATGTTATCAAAAAAGCGCCAATCATATATTGTTCTAAAAATTCAAAGAGTTTAAAAGGCATCAATTTTTTTCTCTGAAACTTGAAAATTGAGATTTTTTCAACACAGTCAGTGTTTTTTTTCTGTTTAAGTGCGTTTAATATTTTTTTCCAACTGTTTTTCCCAGTTGGCTATGTTGGTTGGTTGCTTGGCTGGTTATTAATCACCAATGTATCTTGCAGTCAATTAATGAATCTTCTAACTTCATGGTTTGGTGAAAATTTGTGATTTATTCTCATTGAAACACAAAACACACTTTGGAAGCTGATAACTGCTGCTTGCAGTTCTATGAAAATTTTTTGAAGTTTCGAAAACGCGTACTAATTAAAAAAATTGTTTCAATAGGAAATTTTGTTTTATCGTTTTGTTATTGGACGGTTTTTTAAAATTTGGAATACAAAGAGTGAAGATTATTTAAAAAAAATTAAACTTGTAAACACCGTAGAGCTCGAAGACTTTTAATAGTTTCGTCCACTTCACGTTTTAAGAACGAATTATGATGGTGTAGGGTGTTTTTTCTCCAGCCGATTTTAATTACTTCAGAGAAAACTGTAGGGTGTTTTCATTTTGAAGCCTTTTTTTGTGTTTCATTTTCATTTTTTGCTTTTGATTTGAATTCCAAATTATCTAACAACGTTCTCTCCGTGTCGAGGTATCATCTCTGATAATTTGGCTAATTAGATAAAAATGATCAACCGTACAATCTTTCCCCCCAAATTGATTCAAGAGTCGGAAAACAATTATCAACAGGGATGAAAGATTACTGTGCATGTAGCACAGAACGTTCCGACCACAGTCTAAAAGATAAAAATAAAAGTTTCTTTTTCAAATTACTGATTTTTTTCTGAGTGGTTTTATAAAAGGATCCAAATGTTTGAAGTTTTTTATTCCCAAAATGGCGGTAAGAAACTCCAAAAACTAACTTTACTCAAAAAAGCTGTGTTACATGGTTTCAATTAAGCATAAAAAGCTACTGTAAACAAAATTCAAAATATTTAAATTGTTTCTCTTAACACGGGAAAAATTTTCAAACTTAAAAAAAATTGTCCAAATCACGACTGAAAGAGCTTTTATGTGAAATATTAATCGACCTATACCGATGATTATTTGTGGTTCCTGATTGTGGGTGGAACATGAAAAGACAAAAAAGAAGAAAAACACGAACACACTCGAATGAAAATTTCCTCCACTTTTTTCAAATATTCAGAACAATATTAACCAAACCAACTACAACTTAAATTAAAGAAAGAAACCAAGCTTTTTTTCTGCGAATTGTATCAGTTGCCTGATTTATACGCAACCATTTTCCAAAAAACAATAATACCAGGATAAAACTTTTCTTATAATTGTGAATGAGTTGGTTGTGAAACGAAACGAAAACACATAATAAAATGCTTTTTCTTTGTTTGTTTTATAATAAAAGCTTCGAAACTTTGTCCAAATCTAATTTTTGAGGCTGTATTTTTGATTTTTTTTTGCGCTGAGTTCAAGTTAATTCAACCAAAGCTGATCTACTTACTGCAATCCGAATAGGAACACTGGTCCGCCGACACCACAACACGAAACCAGCCAACCAAAAACGCGTTCCCAACTCTTTTTTTGGAATTCACTGAATCAGCTCAAATTTTTCTCAAAATCTCTAAGAAAATAGATTTTTTTGCCAAAAACCAGCACGAAAAACCTTCAGTGCTTTTTGTGTGCAAAACAAAATTTAATTTAATGAAACAAAAAGGAGATAGAACACTTTGTTTATGTCGAAAAGCCTGTTGTGTTTTTTGCAAATCTCAAGTCATAAACGATTGTGGAAAAATGAATAGAAACTTTCGGCGTCTCCGGAGCAAACCCATGAAGTTTTTACTAAAAAAGATTTGAAAAAAATGCAATTTTTTGATATTATGATGACAAAAGTCAAAAACTGCAGAAATGTCAGCAACTTTCCGTCAATAGAGTAGAAAACTGTTAAAACGAACAAATCGATTTTTTTTGGTTAAAATTTTGAGTTCAGTTTTATCTAAATTTTTTGAAAAATGCAAATTCTCGAAAACGAATCCATTTTGGTTAGAACTTGATGGATTTGATAAAACCATGAAAATTTTTTGAAAAAAAAATTCTGAAAAATACCGAAAATGAGACGATGCAGTAATTTTCCTAAACTGAGAAAACGCAATTGAGAGGCAATCAAAAGTCCAAAGCTAGCTATTTAAAGTTTTCTGCTTGACTCTTGAATGGCTTAAACAAAATTGGATCAGTCGTAAGAAAAAGTATCAATTGAAAACTTTTTTTTTTCTTTTCTTACACAGTTTAGAAACTTATAACACTACAGCTACACCAAAAAATTCAAAAAATGCTGCATATATAAGTTTAAAAAATTATAACACTACAGCTACACCAAAAAATTCAAAAAATGCTGCATAAAAAAGTGGAAAAAGAGGTACTCGTTGTTAATGATCGATTGAAGGAGAGCTTAGAAAATTCAGATAGAAGATCCAAGATCAAAATGTTCAAAGAATGCAAAGCAATCCTAAAAAGCGCCCCAGCCGGGACTAACAAGCTTGCGATTGGCTTTGATAAAACTCAACATATTTGCAAATTATTAACCGAATTGGCTGGTTGGCGAGACAGGGTTGCCAAGGTTAACGACGAAATTAATAATACGTTTGTTTTTCATTTGAAATACAAAAGCCTTGTTATGTGAAGCAAGTTTTTTCAAAAGATTCCTCAAAATCTGCTTAGTCTAAGTCAAGTAACTATAGTTTCCTCAAATCACTGTTCCCGAGTGAGCTTTGAAAGAGCATTTACTAACAAAAAGAGTTAAAGAAACAGAGTGAAGCTAGCTTAAATATCAAACACCAGGAAGCGATTCTAGATGAACAGCAACATCAGAATGAAATTGGAACAAGAAGTTCGGTGGAGGTTGGAGAAAAGCGTTCGAAACTGGATTAATTATGTGAGAAAATCTGCATTAGGGTAGCGGAAGCCAAAATCGTAGAAACCGATTATCTGGAAGAGTTTAAAGTAGATCAACAACAAGATCAATCTTCATCCCTAGGCCATCCTTCAAATAGGGTAAAAGTTTGGTTGACCCTGCAATCGACACTTAGAAAGTTCCTGGTTTAAAAAAAAAACAGCCTGCGAAAAATCGTCACAGGAGAAAAATTGAGAAACAAAACTGGGTATGACGCACAATCTTTGTTTATCGCAAAACGTTCAAGCTCATAAACTTTTCACTTGAGCAAATGCAACAGACTTAACGAACCACATGTATCTGTAGTTTTTTTCAATTTTTCCTAGACAAGTCTCATTAGTCAAAAACAGAATCTATAGTTTTCAGTTCTTGCTTCAAAACAAAACAGATGCGCATTAACAAATGAAAAAAACGCCCGGAAAATCAAACACAGACGAACTAATAAATCTAAAGCAAAGACTTAGTTGTTTATGATCCAACTACATTAGTTTGACAAAAAGGCTGATTTTCCGGCATGCAGTTTTCGTAAAAGCATAAACACGATTTGGAAATGCTCCGAATCAAAATAGATTAACCCAACATAAAGACCAAACTTTTCAGCAAAGAAAAAGCTGTGTTTTTCTATGTGCAAGGAAGGCACAAGTTTCACAACTGCCCCGAGCTAAAACATGCATCGAGCCGGGCGGCAACAGCAACCATAGTAAATTGCTTCATGTTGCCAACTGAGTGAACTCTAAACAGGATCCCGATAACTCAAGTGTCAACTCAGCAAGCTTTAACACAAAAAGTAAATTAAAAGTAAAGTAACAAGGCATTTCGAAAGGCGTATGATGAACCTGGAAAAAAAACGCCAGCGATAGCTTACTGAGCGTCAGTTCTAGTTTTGCGGACAGTGATCCCGGTCCAGCCAATACAAATTGCGCCATTTTAAACAATAAGTCGGAGCTGATTACCTCAAAAAACTTATTACCAATTCTTAATTTCGAAGTTGCATCAAAGTTCCTTAAAGTTTGATACCTGAGTTGTGATTCTGCATCGCGCCGATTCAAGGTATCAGCTAGATCAGTCAGTTTTCTGAATAGTTCAGGCAAAAACTTAGATCTGACAGTCTATGGTATCGATGCAACATAAATTGTTAAAACAAAGTAGGTTCAGTTGAATGTGTTTGCTACTTTTGACGAATTCGAATTCAACTTCAATTTAAGTGCACTTGCTGAAAACCGATTGGACGACGGTTCTAAAATTCAAAATTCCTGCCCGACAAAGCAAATAATTGTATCATTCTTGTTCTGTTACATCCAATTTTTTCTAACTACGCCGATTTTGATTTGATACATGGTCTCGCTCACGCTGTTAGGCCAAAAGATTAGTATAAAAAACAAGATAACCCAAATGGTTGCCGTCTGCCTTAAAAATTGTGTGGTTTTAAGCGGTCTATTACTGTCAGATTCTGGTTTACTTTCCATTATCTACAAGTGTAGTATCCGACAGAAGGAAATTGCCAGCCAGATAAAGTCCTGTTCGGTGCTTACAAACAGTTAGATCCGCGTTCCACTGCTAATCAACCAGCATCTGAAAAATTCGAATCGTCAGCGAATCATGACGGTTAAAAGATATGCCGAAGGCATGCTGTGGGAGAAAAAAAGTCAACCTGTCCATTAAACACTACTCGGTACTCGATCAGTTAATATCTTTGGAAAATCTTTCGCAAAAAGACCCAAAAAATC